CGAATTAAGCTTCCCCTCCTCTGTTTCGTCTCACTAGAGGCGCCGGCTTCAGTCTCGATCACGTGGCGCCTCGGCAGAAATTGATCTCTCTGATAAGCGGAAATTAAGAACAGCAATTGACCAACACGTAATTATCCCCGTCGATATTACAATGAGCACCATTAAAAACTGTTCGATAGTTGTGCACGTTCTCGTATCGAGATTATACTCGTGCAATAAATATATCAAGCAATTTGTGTAAGTGCTATACGATTTTAACGAAACAACGTATATATGTATATATATATATATGTATATATAGATACACGAATGATTCAGAGTCAAATTGGCCAATGAATCGCAGCGATGAACCGATCGAGTGATTGGTGGATGATCGAAGAAAAATCGATGGCGAGAGATCGAAGGGAAAAAAGTGGCGCCCACGCTGAGAATGATCGGTCGAAGATCTCGGCGATCTCTCGAAACGGCGTCCTCTCGAACGCTCCTCGATGGGAGGAGCTGCTTGGTCGCGGATTTTAATGGCGGATTTTTGCGACTCGCCAATCGCACACGACACGAGACACCGTCCACCGTTTCCCGCTCCGTGATTCAACGATTCGACGATTTCACCGCGAAGAGAGGAGAGATATACATCGTGGCGAGTTACGTGATTTGATTTGAGGAGAGCTCCTCGAAGCGAGCGCGCGTGGGACACGCGCTCTGCCTTGTCGCGTGCCTCGCCACGTTCATGCTGGTTCTCAACCTGCGCCTCGATACTCGATGCTTCGATTAATCGCGATCGCTGAGCGGGAACTGTCGCCATCATTCTTGCGCGATTCACGTGTTTCGATAGGAATGGAACGACACTTTGGATTTTCGCCAAGCTGTGTTTTATATCTTACAGTGGTAGAAATTTATCCAGGTACGATTTGATAAAGTTTATTGTCCCATTTTCTTCGATCCGTACAAATAAATGCAGAGAATTATCGAATGACTCGTGTTATTCGAAGGTAAACATACCTTCGATTTCTAGGTTATGATAGGTACGTTGAAAGCGAGCAACGTTCCAACGAAACGAAATCTTACGAGAGATTTTCTACGGGGTTTGACACGTAATAATACATTTCGACACTGAAATGATATCATCGCTCACAGAAACGGATTCAGTCATTTGTGGCAACTCGCGTTCATCTCTTTCGTGTCGTGGTAAGTGCTTCTGCGATACAACTTGCAAATCTTCTAATGTTATGACATTTGAAAATAATCAAAGTATACGACCTCGTAATATAAAGTGTATTTTACCGTGTCGCGTTGCGTGTAACATTAAGATCGAAATAACGATTTCATAATGACACAATCATTTATATTTTCATTCAGTTTCAAATTGCGTACCCATATGTGACTTTGAAAAGGGAATCTCGAAAAGGGAATTCTTCGATTATAACGACCATAGCCATATTTGACTTTCATTCGACTTTTAAAATTTGGATTTTTTTATTAAATGAATTAATAAACAATATCCAAGTTATAAAGTAGCTCTGTGAAGTTGTGTAGAAACTAATGGCGTAGGAATCGAGATAGCGTAGGTACTCGGATGCCTGCCGTCGGAGAACAAGGAGAAAGGTACGTGGATAAATTGCCTATGCCGTTTACAGGCGAGTCGGGCTTGAGAACAGCCTAATTACCGCGTTTACGCACTGCGTAACGTGCACGAAGTATCGCTCGATCGCTTGGACAAATTGGACATGCGTGATGTTTTCATTTTCATGAAACTGCCGCGGAAACTGGAGGCGTCCAATTCTCCGAAACAAGGATGAATGAATTTCGAGATAAATGGAACTCGATCGTAACTTTAAAAATTCAAATATCAAATTTTTATTCGATATATACTACGCGTGATTACCAACACCGCGAACCACGTCTCGATACTCCATCGAGACCACTCCATCATTTACTTTTTAAAAAGTCGAACGATAAAATCATACGTTGCGATGCTGAAAATTGAAATTTTTTTTTTTTTTAAAAAAACCCAGTCGACGATTAAAAGATTTATGCGTGTTTTGCAAAACGATGAATTTACGCCGTTTTATCAGAGTCTCGTGCAACGACGTACCCAACTCCGAGTATTCTGAAAATGTAAATGCAACAATTGAGACACGGGTTAACAATTGAGTCCAATTTGTACGAGTCGTCCGCTGATGATGTTGACCACTTAGACGCGTTGGATGCGCACGGAATTTTGCAAGATCTTGAATTAATATATTTTTCAAAGCGATGCGGGAGTAATTAGAGACGACCGATCGTTTCGCCTGTGTAAATTACATTCGAGAATTCTAACCGGCATAAACTGACTTAACTGGCCGCATAACGTTTCTGTTTATTTATCAGGAAGCGATTAACGACGCCATACTCGGTTTATAAATATTCACGATTACGAAAGCGTGCATATATAAAAACAACTCTGAAAGGAAAATCCGCGGATACAGTGTCGAATCGCCGCAATTTTATTTTCCTACGATCTCGATATTCCGAGTTCAAAATCATCGAGTGTTGGTTTTTTCGTGTGTGGGAACGAAAATCTTACCATTTCTCGCGTAAAACGAGAGAAATATCATAGGGTCGCGTTGCGAAATCATGGCGCAAAATCGCCGGATATCTAAATCGAATTCAATTTCCGAGAGAAGAAGCGAGGAATTCTCTAGGATTCTAGAGAAAGGAAATTTTCTTCGATTTTCACACGGAATTTTCACACGTGGCGCTAGCGTGTAAACGTCGTTAGCAAAGTACGTAAGAGTACGTAACACTCGAACGATGGGACGGGATTTCGTTTACGTCGTTACTCGTAGAACGAATTCGAAACGATTTCGAAACGTTCCGTTCGTGAACGTTGCCTCGTCCGCACGCCGGCCTACTACCGTTCGACACTCCCAGTTTCTAATCTCGTCTAATCTTCCGAGATATCTTGGCCGCGCACGGGCGTACAATCGATCCAGGTGAGACGAATCGATTCGCCGTGTGCGCCATTAGCCCGCGACAGAACGCGACGAGGATGGGTCACGCGTTACGCGTAAACTTTCTGCGTTCAATTAAGCGTTAACATCGCGATGATAAACGAAGAAATGGATTTACGGCCCCCGTTATTATTATTCGTATCGTTTATTCTTCGCTCACACAATGTGCGTACACGGCGTTACATACATACGTACACGTGGCGTACACTCGAAAGAAAACTCGCTTGAGAAATTATGGATGGAAAAAAAAAAAAAGGTAAAGACTTACTACCGTGTTCAACCGTGTTGACACTGTCCAGCCGTTTCCTCGTGTTTCCGGGGAAAGTGAGCCCCTCTCCCCCTCCTCCTCCTCCTCCTCCTTCCTCGGCTACTTATTTTCTTCGTACGCGGACAGTGTGTTTAGAACGCAAGCGAGCGAGCAAGAAATTTTGCGCAAACAGCAACGCGAAAAACAGTGGGTGGTTGCGTCGGATGTTATCGAAACGGCGAGCTGCCGCTAAAATACCGGTTTACCCTTATTGTCATCTCACCGTGGAATTATTATATAGCCCCCCACGTGCGCGATTCGTCTCACCGTAATGGTGAAATGAGCGCGCGGCTAGCCATTTTACCATTAATTATTATTCGTTGCGATACATCCGGTCATTACGGATCTCTCAAAGCGGACAGAGAACGAAATAATAAGATAGGCTGATAGATCCGAACGCTGATGGAACGCGAACGATCGAAACACGTCCCGTGTGTACGTATACAATGCGAACCCCTCTCGAGGTGTCGTTTCGTGATTTCTACGCTTTTCAAAGAGGCAAGAACAAAAGAGATTATCTGGACACTGGGCGTAGCGGCAGAGGCGCGTTAATTCTTCCCTACAAGCTTGACGATACGTTGAGACGAACGTACGCGTCCCCTTCCTCCTCCCCCTTCCTCCACGTTGGTCCCTCGCGGTCGAGGCAAGATTTATCGCGCATTTTGCGCGAGATGTATTTTTAGGTGTAAACCCGGAACGCATAACGTTATTACAATCGGGTATCGGTGTGCGAGCGCACGAACGGAGGATACTCTATTCCGCATTATCCGAAGCCATTGTTCTTGGAGCGGCAATCGGGCATCGTGGGATCAACGAATCATCCGTACGCCGATGATTTCTATCCACGGAAGTACACGATCGAGTACGTTGTACGCGCATTTTTCCCGAATAGGCACGGCCCGAATAGGACGATTACGTGGCAAACGATATATAAAAGAGGGACGAACGGTTGGGTTAACTTTCGAAACGGGCAGAGTTGAAAAGTGGTGGGAGGGGGGGATGAGGAGGATCGTCGAATCGAGTCGCCTATTTCTCGATGTAATTGGACATTAACGGGGGAATTCCTGATGTAATGCGTTTCGCTTCATTTCATTCCGCTCGATCGGCTTACAGCGAGAGAAGAGCGGAATGCCAGGCCGCTTGGTAATATCTGGATTACCCTCGTTAAGCGGCCTCTTCGAGCATTCCATTGCGTATCTCCAAGTTGCGGGATCGGGACGCGACGCGTAATTACAAGAAAGATCACAGAATCGAGGGATCGTAATGGAAAATAGACGCGCGTGTATTAATTTTCGCCATTCGCTTCGTTTCGTTTAATTCGAGTAGACTCGTTGCGGAATCGCTTACGAAATAAATACGATCCCATCTTTCGATTCCTTCCTCTAAATTTTGAAAATGTTTCGCGAATGTTTCCGTTCTCCGTCCAGGAGCTCTGAATTTGAAACGGAATCGAGAGGGGCGGGGGAATAATGGAAGGAATATACGAAGCGGATAGTTTAGAGAGACAAGCGTTAGGATCTCAGCCACGGCCCATATTCAAAAGTCTCTCTCTCTCTCTCTCTCTCTCTCTCCGTCGAGACGCGTG